TGTGGAGAGACTGCTCTGAGCATTCCTAAAACTTCATAATATAACTTATGTGTATCTCAAAAACTTATGAGTATCTAAAAGAATTCAGACTGACCTTCGTATATGTAGTTGTTGCTGACATCCTAGAAATATTTTGCCTTTTCCTGCAGATTCGACAAATCTCCGCTACTTAGATTTAGTTTGTATTTAAAATCAGAAGCATTTAATATTAATTTTAGAAACTATGAACTGGAGATTTTGTGCTCCTAACTGGTAACAATCAGTATGCGATCCACTTTTTGAAAGAGATTTTTAAATATCAGAACTTACTTTTACGAATCTTTAACAGTGGTTATAAAAACCAAAATTCAAAAGGCAAAACAAAGAAAATGTAAAGTAAGGGAAAGATCAGAGTACCTTTAAATGCCGGAGGAAATATTTCAACCTCACGGTTCAAGGCCACAAATTTTTTCACATCCGTGGCGAAGTATTTGCGAATTCCAACGGATGAGAGAACACCTTTCACCTCAAGACAGGTGCTGAATATATTAGTTCAAGGGATCTTGAATGGAAAAAAAAGAAAAGAAAAATTCCATGTTCTTACACCAAACAAGTAAAAGGATTTTGCTCTCTGGAAGAGAAATTCTTTCTGCCCTAATAGCAATGCCATCTGAGTTGATCCTAATTAGGAATAGGTATTTAATAAATAATGCAATAAAGAACTCTTTTAAACATTTCTTTGGTACACGTACTGTTCTCTATTAGATTAAGCATCTAAACAGTTTCGAGATGAAAGCATCTGTAAGCCACAGCCCTAGGTAATACCGTATCTAATTTTAGGTTCTTTAACGTTTGAATCACGCAAAAACATTAATATTAAGTAAAGTAATTCATTAAAAAATATAGTGTATATTGCTAAAAAAATTAATAAAAACATTGCAATCGATGTAAAAATACTGCGTAAATTATATAAAGATGCTTTCAATGGATAAAATTATATCATCTGATTTTTTTAAGCTAAGTCGAATTTTGTTATCATCCTATCAGCATATCGCTGCATGTATGCATTTATATAGCTGCGTCTATCCATTAGGTATATCGCGGCATGTATGTAAATAAATTTCTTATTCCAAGACTTTATAGCTATACAAAGATATAAATAAGTTAAACTAGATTGATAAATTGCGAAAGCATAAGCTTTATAGATAAATTGCCAAAATATAAGATGCAATTTTGCTTCAAGATTCTATTCAATAATGGTGCAACTGCCTAAGAGATGAAATTAAGAGAATTTGCAAATATAGTCTGTTTTTAAGAAAAGCATATTGAACTGAAGGTAATAATTACGCCACCGAAGAATTATGAAAATATTCAGAGTCGAATACGTAAGCACAAACTTGTGTGTCTGCGTACTCCTTCACGACATTCGCCGTGGTTCTTGCAAGAGCTGGTTAAATCTCATAAGGTATCAGATACAATGAGCAGCCAGAAACGTATGGATAACAGAATGAGATGGAGAATTGTTAGTAGATTGGAGGCAGGCCAATCACAAGCACGAGTGGCTACAAAGCTCATTGTATCGCCCAAATGTCACCTACAATTTGGGAAGATCCATATTTCGCACTTTCGGCGCAGCGACACAGGACTGCTACAGCTTCAGAGGTCTTACGTGAGCTGTGTGCTGTCACTGGGACCCGAGTTTTATGGTCTACAGTTGCCCGAAAGCTTCTTGAGATAGGGGTGTATGCCAGAAGACCCGCTATTTGCGTCTTGCTCATTGCAATACACGAGAGAACGCGTTTAGCTTAGTGCAGAAAACTTGCACCCTATTCAGTAGCGTAGAGTGCGTTTTACAGATGAATCAAGATTTAGCCCGGACACATTCTTGGTTTACCTGCATCTGGAGAAAGCTTGAAACACGTTACCATCTCTTCGTCATCACAGGGGAAAAACATTAAGGTGGTGAAGGTGTAATGGTCTGGGCAGGTGTTATGTTGTACCGTCGCACACCCCTGTACGTGTTTGACGAAGGCTTCCTGACCACTATGAAGAATAGAGAGGAGTTCTTTGTGAAGTATAGAGAGGAGAGGCCTATGTTCGACTTTTCAGAACCGCAGCTGGTCCTGTGTTCCTGTTAATGGACGATAACATTCATCTACATAGGGCTCACCGATGATTACCTGGAAAGTGAGGATATTTGTCGTATTTATTGGTTAGCGAAATCTCCTCGCCCTAACTCTATAGAGTAAGTCTGGGTGGGCTTGTTGGGAGGGCAATGTCATCTCGCCATTCCCCCCCCCGAGAGCCATCGAAAACTGCTTTGCTGCAGGAGTGGCATCCTCCTCAACTGCATCAACCACAGAGACTCCTCGACTGCCTCTTGTCCTATATGCCATCACGTTGCGAGACGAGTCTGGCTGCGAGAGGACCCACTATACCCCATATCAGACTCATTTTCAGCTGAATATCACAACGTGGATTTTGGACTCCCCTGCACTGTGGGCTTTGCTGACAAGGATGCGTACAGAAAATGACTTTTGAATGGCATATCTCTTCCTCTGTTATAAATATATATTCACAACCAATTTCATTAAAATCTATTCATTAGTTTTTCAGAAAGCTGACATAATATGCAAATTCTCATAATTTTGCATACGAGTGTAAAAATGAATAGATATAATAGCTACAATGTCGTGCTTTCGTGCATAGGTTTACACATGTTTGTTAGCGTGATTTCTCAACACATAACTGCAGTCGGATTGTAGGGCCTAGAAGATGAGGGCCTTTCTATCTTCAAGGTAACGGACTTTCATTTCTATGGGTACAGCAGGAAATTTATGAATTCAGGACAAATATTAGCAGTGTATGGAACGGCTGCAGTTCCACTCGTAGACCATGAAACACACCCGCAGATTTAAAAGATAGCAATCATTAAATAAAGAGAAACTTATTTTAGATCATCTTTTCTCTATTTTAGACGATTATAATCGTTCTGTCTTTTTTGTTGCAGAAACCACCATTCAATGCAACATGTTAAGTGTTTGTACTCTTTGGTCTATCAGTCAATGCATTATACAACATACTTCACATTCCAAGTCTTTGGTATCTGAAGGTACTAGATTTGTCCGGGTGGAATCATAAAATGGGCTTCATATAGGCCAGACAAGATTATGTTTCAATTGTGGTCGACTGGTGCTATGTTGCCTTGCGATTTTAGCTGTTTCAAGCAGGCGACAGCTTTGTGTGGAGATGGTATTAAGCTACGATTCCATGGTGCTTAATGCGAGTATTATATGGAAAAATGATGGTGGTTCTGTCAAGACGAGATAATTGCTTTATCTGCATATAGCATACTGGAATACTGGTATCAATATTTACGAGTACACTTAGTGGTACGCGTGTACACTTAGTAGAAGTGTTGTACCGAGATCTCATTGTAGGCCATTCTCATCCCCTTTATAAATGCCGCATTTTCGACGTTGATAGTTTGTATCATAATGCGTGATTACATTGACTTAAATAATAGAAATGTCGTACCTAAATTGCCCACTAGCGGCGGAGCGGTAAGTCGCTGAATACTGGTAGTTCGGTCCGATGTTCGAATTCCGCGTTGCCCCACGGACACTGGTTCTTCGGTATACCTACTTTATATGGTACACACAGACACAGAACTAGTACGAAAAATACACTGTTGATTTTCAGGTTCTTCGGTATCCCCGTTGCCTTAAGATTTAAACCTTATTAAGCATTTTAACAAATTTTATGAAGAGGTTTCAGAATATTTGGAAAATGACGTCCGTCAGACATTTTCCTCGTGGTTATCTAGATAACATACTACGAAAAATTAGAGAAAGAGTTGTCTGGATAAATTTTATTCTACAAAATAGCAAATGTTAACCAAATAATTTATAAATGAAACTGTGATCACATTTCGGAAAGAACCGAATGATTATTTTTAAGTAAAAGTTTTCAGAATATTAATACATGTCGGTGTTTAGTAATTATGATTATAATGTTGGTATGCTTCTTAGCAGATCAAGGAAAAAAAATAAACGAAAACTGGAAGTTAATAATGAATTAATGAAGCAAATCACACAGACATTATAAAAGCAAAGTAAAATGCTTTTAATAATTGGGTTGGTTTCTTTATACAGAGCATTTGGCTTGAATTTAATTTTTTATTAGTATATTTTATGCTTTTAATACTTCATTTAATTATAATTTCTTATTGCAATTATATCCTTTAGATCTACTCTCAACAAATATTGTAACTTCATATACCAGCACACTTTTGCTGTTGTCCAAGCATGCATGTACATAAAAGCGTAAGTCTGAGAAAAAGTACTTTTATTAGCAGAAATAAGAAACTGGAAAGATTTTCTGAGAACAATTTAGCAACAAAATTTATAGGAATTCCTGCAGTAAGTCACTATTTCTGATAGCTTATTCCAGCGGAAACTCAAGGTCATAAACTCGTTAGAGTGTATTAAGGGAAAGGGCCTCTAAGCTTACATTTTCAGTGGGGTGTAACCTTACGTCACTTACGATTTCCGTTCTGTGGGGAAGTGAAACGGGTAAAAATGGCGCAAATTTGGGTGTGGTTATAAAACTAAATCTTTTCTAGTGAATGATTCCTTCTTTGGATGGATAGTATAATGCCTCAAGCTAGTTCTATCACTTGAGTTGTAACCTCCAGTTTCAAGATTGTCTTAGCGGCATCTGGTACTGTCATGAAGTGATAATATCGTCATTGAGTTCTTACAAATACTCTCGGACAGGCCATTCAATGTGCTTATTTAAGTTTCAGATTACATTCCTGAAATGTGTCTTTTTATCACACTGCAGTTTCAAGCATTGTTAACTACAAACCTAATATCGGATATTGTCTCTGTGCATTTAGATAATGAAGAATATTATTTTCAGCAATTTATTAGCAGATCAAGGATTTCAGCAATTTATTAGCAGATCAAGGATTTCAGCAATTTATTAGCAGATCAATATTTTCTCCCTCCTTTCCGCATGCCTTCATGGTGCAATTGGTAGCATACTCGACATGTGTTCAAGAGGTCCAGGGTTCGAGTCCCGGTGAAGGCATTGCTCCATTAGATAACCTAGTGACTCTACAGTAGTATCCAAACTAAAATGTGGTAGACGATAATTCGAATTTATCACCACCAGTATTTGGTTACTGAGTCCCCTTATATCTAGCCCCCCTTTAAAAAGGGAAGTATATAAGGTGTTTTCTCCCTCCTTTCCGCATGCATTCGCGGTGTAATTGGAAGCATACTTGAAGTATTCAGGGTTCGAGTCCCGGTGAAGGCATTGCTCATTTTTCATAAATACATTTCTCCATCAGTTAGAGTCCTCATGAAGGAAGAAAGACTTTTATTGTAGGTATATTATTACTATTATTTACGTGTCCGCCTTAAAGCACTACGCCCTATAGAATGTATAAGTACCATTGTTTTATTACAATGCAAAAAACATGCATACATTAATGCAGATTCTTCATTGTTTAATTCCTTTTAATATAATACAGAACTCTAATATTTGGTGGCACTAATTTGAAAAAAGATTCGTCGTTTATAGTGCATTGACGCAAAATGCCAAAATGAAATTAATAGCCCATCTTGGCAAATTGCCCCTTTACGCTAAAAATATAATAAAATGAAAAATTGTAAAAAAAAAAAAAAAAATACGTCTAAAAGGGCGTTTTTTTTTTTTTTTTTTTTTTTTTTTTAGTCCAAAGGGATTTGAATCCCGAAGGACTATTAGTTTCGTTTTGGCATTTTGCGTCGGACGGATAAATGTCGGTTCACTTTTCAAACTGTTGCCATAAAATGTTAGAGTCCTGCATTATATTTGAAAAAATTAAATAATGAAAATCTGCGTAAATGTATGTATATTTCTCACATTGTCATAAAATAACGGTACATAGAGTCATCGAATTTTGAATAACGTAATCCTCCAACGAATATGAGCATGTGGAAGACCAAATTTGAAATTTGAAATTTGTTTTATGATCGATTTCCTATTTTTTAAAACTTTGACGAATTTTTGATTAACAAACTGAAGGATTTCAAAGCGAGCAATGGCAACGTTGTGCAGAAAAAAATATTTTATCTCCAGCGCGTGAGTCTCTGTATCGGAAATTCTAAAGATATGCTCGTTTTAAAACTATTTTGCGATATTGCTGTTGCACTGGATCTTATGGTTTAAGTGCGAGGAACATGGTATTTAATAAAGAAAGGTAACACACAAAATGTTAAAAAACGCCCCTTTGGACGTAATTTAAAATCTGAAACGTTTCAGATTTTTTTTTTTTTTTAACATTTTGGGTGATACATTCTTTTATTAAATATCACGTTCTTCACACTTAAACCATAAAATTCAGTTCAACAGCAATATAACAAAATAGTTTTAAAAGGATCACATCTTTAGAATTTCCGATACAGAGACTCGCGCGCTGGAGATAAAAATGTTTTCTTTGTACAACGTTGCCATTGCTTGCTTTGAAATACATGAGTTTGTCAATCAAAAATTCGTTAAAGTTTTTCAAAATATGAAATCGATAATAAAACAAATTCCAAATTTCAAATTTGGCCTTCCACATGCCCATATTCGTAGGAGGATTACGTCATTCGAAATTCGATGGCTCTAGGTACCGTTGTTTTATCACAATGCGAGCAATAGATATATATTTATGCAGATTTTTCATTATTTAATTTCTTCAAATATAACGCAAGACTTTAATATTTGGTGGCAACACTTTGAAAAGTGAAACGGACATTTATAGTGTACCAACGCAAAATCACAAAACGAAAACAATAGTCCTTCAGGGATACCCTTCGGATTAAAAATTAAAAAACGAAAAAGGAGGTTAGCAGGAATGACTGCAACAACAGACTGGTCAACTGCGAGTTCAGTGAGAGCGCAATAAACCTCAACACACTTTTTGAGCGACAGGTAAATTCTGAAATTTGTCAGTTTTTTTTAAATTAATGTAAAAGAATATTTCTCCCTTTTTATTTTGCTTAAGCATGTAGTTTTACAATTTTCTTTGTTCTTTTTTCTATGTCTCGATCATACCACTTTACAGTTTACCTAAGATAAAAGATTTAAATTCTTGAAGCAATTTTTTAATAAAAATTCTAAAAACTTTCTGACATGAGTATAATATAAACTTAAAATATACTCTAGAAAATGTTTCATGGCTCTCAGTTTTTGTGTATACGTCTTGTCCGTCCTCTTTCTCTTATACCTTATTTGACAATCGTTAGCACTGATAAAATTCATTACATAACTTTTACATGCAATTAAATTTCCCATAAATAATTTTCAAGTGATTAAATTTATTGTATAAGTTTTAGAGGTGGTATTATATATTCATTAATCGACACAAAATATACAACTTTTAAACTCTTTTTCTGTTTATAAATATAAAGTTGTAACTGTTTTGCGCAGATTGCTACAAATAAACGAAGAAAACTTATTATTGATTCTCTTGGTAATGTAATTGCTACCATGAGGATGTGCTTCGAAGGGGTGGGCGAAGTTAAAATGCTGGTCAGACCTTTTGCTCAAATACTTTTCTCATCGGCCAGTAACCATCGTCTTTTTCCTTGGAACGAACCAATCTAATCTCTACATATAATAAAAAAAAGAGTCTGTGTGTCTTTCTTTGGTGCTGCGCGTAGGTTAATAGACCCAGGGCTACGAAATTTCGTATATAGGTGCATCTAGACAAGAGCCAATGCACCTCGAAGCGATTTTTTCAAAATTCGAATCAGATACTTTTTTAATTTTATCTTTTCGATTTTATCATAGCATTTTAAATAGTTTCATATTCTTTTATAAATGTGGTTTTCGCAACAGTTTTTCATTCAATTGTATACTGGACTGCTGACTGTTGAAAATCAGCACTTTTGCCACTTGGAAAAAGGAGGGTGATAATTCTGTGCAGTTCTTAAATTTAATGTTTCTCTTGCATACTGGACGTTTCTTGAGAAAAGGCAACGGTAAGTTGGTTAATTTATTTATTATGATAATTAATATTTATATTAAGAGATATTGCTTATTTCCTTGTAATTTTGATATATGTAATACATTTTATGAAGTTGATTAGCAGAGTAAAATTCTGCGCAGTTTATAAATTTAACGTTTGGTGTTCCGGTATATTTAAAAGCCAGACAAAGGCTGGCCGCGTAGCTGCTATTCTGAAATAAAATCACAATTATCACAACTTTATAGTCATATGGAATTGCGGCGAGAGATAACCTTACAGTCATAACTTTTATTATTTGCTTTTGTGACTTGCAAAACAGTGGAAGAAACATTTCAGCTTCGCTTGCTGCTGACCTATCCAGTTAGAAACAAGTTTTCTGCTTGTCTTTCTTTTTCATTTATAATTAAAAAAAAGGAAGAAAGGATAACTTGATGGTTTTTCAATTACTACTTGACCTGGTCTACATTTGAAGAGAAACTGATTTATTATTTTTCTTATCAAACATAAAAATAAATTTTAAATACAATATTAAAAGTGGCAATAATATTTCATGATTTTTTCCTTATTCGATTTCCATTTTTTATAGACTTTAATTATAAACTACACTTTTGGTTCCATTTGCTTCTATTAGATGAAGATGCTCCGTGTTGAAATTTATAACCTTTTTTTTTCTACTTGTTTAACATAAGATGATTTTTTATATTTTTAACTATGTCATGAGAAAGAATAATAATGCATCAAAAGTATACCAAAGTACCTTAATAGTCCATTTATATCCACTTACTAAGAAAAAATCAGTAGAAGTAATTGCAATCAACGTTCCATGACGTCATTAGAAAAGGTAGCGAAGTTTTGCATTTAAGGTGATGAACAAGATACGGTTTTCTCTTTCTCCGTGTTGTATGCGTTTATATCCAATCTAAAAATAATATAAAACTAGCTGTTACCCAGCAATGCTACTTAAAGGGAAGAAAGTGTTTGAGTTTTAAATTAGCTAAATAAATTTGAGAACTGTGCGATACATGCATAATATATCCATCTTTTCAACGACTACACTTGGATGAAGATTGTAATCAATTAGCATCGCAATGGAATATCGCATCGTACCAATATTTAAATCAGACTGCAGTGTTCTTCTGGATCGAGCACTGCGTACTGGAACATTTTCCAATCTTGCTTCCGGCTGCTGGTCTGTTTCAGAGGAATGGTCTTGAACAGCTCGCATTCGAACGTACTTTAGTCTTGCTTCTGGTTGCTGATTTGTTTCTGAGGCTCGTGAAATCTTTTTTTTCGTGTTTGATGTGTAGATCGAACAATCGTTTTTCGCTCACATTCGAACGTCCTTTCGTTTTGCTTCTGGTTGCTGATTTGTTTCTGAAGCTCGTGAAGTCTTTTTCTTTCGTGCTTGATGTGTAGATCGAACAATCGTTTTTCGCTCTCACATTCGAACGTCCTTTAGTATTGCTTCTGGTTGCTGATTTGTTTTCTGAAGCTCGTGAAGTCTTTTTTCTTTCGTGCTTGATGTGTAGATCGAACAATCGTTTTTCGCTCACATTCGAACGTCCTTTAGTATTGCTTCTGGTTGCTGATTTGTTTCTGAAGCTCGTGAAGTCTTTTCTTTCGTTGTGCTTGATGTGTAGATCGAACAATCGTTTTTCGCTCACATTCGAACGTCCTTTAGTATTGCTTCTGGTTGCTGATTTGTTTCTGAAGCTCGTGAAGTCTTTTTCTTTCGTGCTTGATGTGTAGATCGAACAATCGTTTTTCGCTCACATTCGAACGTCCTTTAGTATTGTTTCTGGTTGCTGATTTGTTTCTGAAGCTCGTGAAGTCTTTTTCTTTCGTGCTTGATGTGTAGATCGAACAATCGTTTTTCGCTCACATTCGAACGTCCTTTAGTATTGCTTCTGGTTGCTGATTTGTTTCTGAAGCTCGTGAAGTCTTTTTCTTTCGTGCTTGATGTGTAGATCGAACAATCGTTTTTCGCTCACATTCGAACGTCCTTTAGTATTGCTTCTGGTTGCTGATTTGTTTCTGAAGCTCGTGAAGTCTTTTTCTTTCGTGCTTGATGTGTAGATCGAACAATCGT